TGTGATATCAATAGAGGACTGCATTTATTGGTGATCGCTCTAAATATCAAGACAAATAAAAATATAATCATCAAAAGCTCAAAAAAAATTCTATAAATCTTTTTTTAAGATTATGTAAAGTGCGGTTAGGTGTACATGTTGGATAATGGGATTCAAATCTCTTAACAACAATCAATAAAACAGACCTGTTTTTACCAAAATTAAAATAAATATTCGATAAAAAATAATCTATCTAATGTGTCATGAGTTTTTACAACAAATTAATGAAAAATGATATTAGTGGGGTATTTAAAAATTTGTGTTTGGCTTTTTTTCATACTAGTTTATGTTGGGTGTTTCTTCTTTGTGAAAAGTTACATATCATTCTCTTTACATATGACATAGGAGTCATTGGTATTTCAAGCCTTGTTGAAATGCAACTTAAAGATGTTTGACTTTACTTTGGCTACCGTATCGAATTCTTCTAGCTCCGGCTCAACGTTAATAAGTTGGCTTTCTTGAGGTGCCACGATCGAGCTTTTGAAAGGCTCCTCGGTGAAGTAGTGGCTTTAGGGAGAGAGCTTAAAAAAGTGATTAGAGAGCGTATGAGAGCCTAACAGCATATTATGAATGCTTAGTCAAATGTGCCATGAGAGGTTTGAAGGGGTATTTCTAGGATTATGTGATTTTTCATTTCTAAAATTCCCCTAAACCTAGATGTTATTAAGCTATTGGAAGGGATAAATTTATCTTTTTATATTTTTGATTATGAAATAATCAAAATACCCTTAAAAGTATTTGTTATATGATTATTGGGAGGAATAAATTGGTCATTTGCCCCTTAGTTGTCGGGTCAACTATTTTACTGTTTGGCCAACCATTTGAACCTCAACGGTCGATCAAGCCTTTTTTTAATATTTTTAAATCATAAAACTGAAGGTTCTAATTGGAATCATCGATTTCGATTTCCCAAACCCACGAACTGGAATTGACTCATTAGAGATAATTCTAATTCGGTTTAGAACCAACAAATCGTTGAGCCAATTCGGTTCTAATTTGAACCAAGCTATGGTCAAACTATCACCAACAATTCTCTCGAGTAGCTCAAAACTAGGGTAGGGTGCTTTTGACACTTACGATTTTAAAAATGTGCCTTTTTGCACTCATAAGGCTTAAAATATGATATGTGAACAAATGTATTGTGGCTAGTGAGTCAGTACGGTCTGATCCATGGGTCAATGTTGGAAGTTCTTTGTCGGCTGAGCTGGACGTCGAGGTAGGTCGGGCCCTTGCGATGGGATGTTGATAAGCATTTCTTGGTCCGAGCGTGGTGGTACGCGGGTCGAACAACGTCTTGGTACGAATTCTGATCTGAGGTGTGACATCAACTATGACGTATCTTGAGCCTAAAATATGCTTTATCATCCTCTAGTTGCTTTTTACCACTAGAATACCTCTTACTTTTACATATTAATAATATGAATATATAAAAGGCTTCCTTGTTGGGCCAAAAACATCTTACTATTCTTGTCAGGCCAAAATTATTTTCATTCTTATCAGAAAAATAAAAGTCTAAACCACCAACATCAGCTTAATAATTCATAGCCTGCTCTCATCAAACCAAAAATGTTCTACCCATTTTCGTTGGGTCAAAAATACCCAACACACTTGTAACACCAAAAAATGGTCAACCACTCTTCATCTGACAAAAAATTTGCTAACCCACTCTTATCTTAAGAAAATACATAACAGATTTAGTCAAATCAATCAAACCACTAATGGGACCAATGTGTCTAATGTTTCCTAATCGGGTAAAGTATTTTACATATGTTTCAATGGTATAAATATTAAACCATCTAATACATCATAATCAGACAAAGCATCTCACTGTATGTATATGATGTATTCTCCATTACATAAATACCAAAGCACCTAATGTGTTCTAATTCATTAAGGAAGCATCTCACTTCACATACTATATCTGTTTAGGATATAATCATCAAAGCACTTGATACACTCTAACTAAGCAAAGCATCTTCTATGTATCTCATAAAACTTGAAGTATCAAAAGATTTGATACACTATAATCGAACAAAACATCTTATATGTGATGCATCCTCCTCCTCCTAGGACATAAGTATCAAGACGACAGCTATAGTTATGCAAAACATCTCTCTCATGCATAACATATCTACATAGGATATAAGCATCAATGCTCTCCAACTAAGTAAATATCTTCTTACACAAGATACATCCATCCAAGACAAAAGTATCAGGGCATGCAATGCACCTTAACTTAGCAAAACATCCCCTGTGTCTCATGCATTCATCTTGGACGAAGGCATCGAGAGATAGCACACTATACTCATTTTTAATATAGATAACAACTATTGAGTTTCTAGCAAATACCTTATCCTTCAGTAGAGACAAACCTCTACCCCAAATTGCAATAGATAGAAAATAATATTCAATTATCTATAACTAACTTAAACTCAACACATATGATTGCTAAATCAGCATGATATTTAAATAGAATATTCAGCATGATATTTTAATCTTTCATGATTGATGATGAATGTAGAATAAATGCTATAAACCATGCTTTCTTTAATTACTTTCTTATCACAAATACTCAAAACTCACCCTTTTGTTTTTTGTTAGAATTAAACTTATTAAGGCACCATCTTGCCTGTAATCAAATTATCTCACAAGTTAGCTCTCTGTTTGAAAGTAGGTCAGACCAACTTCTTGAGACCCTCCTTGGACTTACCAAGTGCAAGCTCTATTTGAGATTATGCAAACAATCATCCACCGTCTCCTATAATTAACTAGTAGCAACATAAAACCTAATGACTCATCAATCATGATATAAAGTTCTAGCTGCACCATATCGGAACTATTGTTGAACACTATGGAGAGCCCTAGGTCAGCAATGCCAATGACAATCGAGAGAGTTGCAAGGACAATGATCTAGTTTGGTATCAACATGAACTTGAGGCACACTCAACCCATGAGATGAATTCTTACATAAACTTCTACCAAAGATAAGTATCTTGATGATATGAGAAACAAGATATGACTCGAGAAAGAACTCAACAAAATTGATCTCCGGAACTAGTAATCTTTCACCCAACTGATACAAAAGAAATATATTTCCCCCAACTCTCATCTTCACGTTCTAAAAACTTTTGACGGAAGCACCTTTTACGTACAGCATGTGACATTTAGGACTTAAATGACTTTATACACTACTTATGATGCCCACATATGTTTGGCTTTTCCCACCACCTTATAAAAAATGATAGGGAGTGATACACCCATATTCCTCGTGCTTCCATGTATTGCAAAGTGGCCGACCCTCATCCTTCCATACGCTTTCATGCCTTCATCAATGACAACCTAAAATGTTTCACCCATTCTCATTTGGCAAAAAGTGTTTAATCCATTCTCGCAAGCAAAAAATCTCTTATCTCGTTGGCCTAAAAATGCATGGCCTACTTGTCGGATCAAAGATTTCTAACCCAGCCTTATATGATGAAAAATATTAGACCACCATTGTCGAACAAAATATGCTTAACTCACATTATTAGAGGAAAGAAAGAAAGAATGTTTGACCTCCTCGATCAAATCAATCAAACAACCTAGATGTGTGAAGAAATTAGCGCACCCTAACTAAGCATAGAATTTCCCTATTCATGATACATTCCCTATAACATAAATATCAAAGCACTTAATGCATCATAATCGAGCAAAATATCTCTTCGTGCATAACATGGTATTTTGATGCCTATGTGCATCTCCTAGCACATAGGCATCAAAATACCAAATGTCCTAACCATACAAATCATCATAAGCATCGAAATGCCGCATGTGTTCTAATCATACAAATCATCATCTCATACACGTACACGATGCATCTACTTAAAAAATAAGCACCAAACTTCAAATGTATAATAATCAAACAAAATATCTCTCTCTCACGCACCACCATATATCTAACCTTGAGATAAGCATGAAGGTATTCAATGCATCTAAATAAGAAAATAATCTCCTCATACACGATGCATTCACCTAAGCGATAAGTATAGAGTGCCTGAAATGTCTTAATTAGGCAAACATCTGTTGGCGTATGATGTGTCCACCTATAACATAAACATTAAAATGTCTAGTATATATAATAATTTTTGAGTATTTTTTTTTATTTAAGCTATAATTTTTGAGTTTCTGAAAGGGATAATATCCCTCAAAATAGATAAATCCTTATTCCGAAGTGCAATGGGACACAATTGACAAATATATATACATAATAATCAGGTTTAAACTTTTTTCTTAACGTCAAGCACAATAATATTAAAAATATTAAGTTAAAAAAAAAATATTCGCAGCAGTTTGGTAAACAATAATAGAAAGATCGAGAGAGGAAAATAAGAAAGATATAAATTTGGGATGCTACGTGGTTCATCACGCTTCTCATCAAATTGAGTTTAGCTGCTCATCGTTATAAGATAGATCACCCATTGCGTAATGTCAATAGTTAAACCAAAACCGCTCATAATACTTAAACCAAAACCCAAACCATCGGTGCTGCTACCTATCCAAAGCCCGAGGGGCGTCTTCACTCACGTAGCAGCCACTCGTGGCCATCTAAGCTCCAAAATGGCTGTCGCTCGCACGGCCTTGCATGGCATCATCTTCCTGTAAGTAGAAAGCTAGCAGATATACACCACACTTGCATCGGCTGTTTCTTATACCCTCTCTCTTAATCCGTCACCGCTGCATGCAGTGCAACCTTTACCATCTTCGCTTGCTTAAACGAGCTGCATCCGACCGCGGGCGCCGCTGGTGTGACGGTGCACGACGAAGGCGAATATGTAAGCTATCCTTTTTTGTTTCGTCAATGGTTTGGAGTAGTTTGAGCGATGTGTCCGACAGAAGTGGATTTGCAGGTTGTGTTGGACAATGGCATCGTCCAAGTCACGTTGTCGAAGCCCCAAGGTTCCATTACGGGAGTCAAATACCATGGAGTTGATAATGTAATGGAAGTTATCGACAAAGAAGACAGTAGAGGGTATGCTAACATATATCTGCAATTAATCTTTTTCGATCCCTCAAATGCATATCGATCTTATCATCCACTGGTGATGGGCAGGTATTGGGATCTTGTTTGGAATCCATCAGATCGAGATTCTGGCATATATCAGAAGTGAGTGCAGCTGCTCATCTCTCTTTTCCTCCCCTAACCTTTTAGCTTCTGCTTACCATTTCAACTGGCTTACAGAGTATACGGAACAGAATTTGAAGTATTGAAGGGAGATGCAAACCATGTTGAGGTCTCTTTCAGAACACAATGGGATCCCTCCAACCGAGGCAAGCTTGTGCCTTTAAACATCGACAAAAGGTTGCACCGCAGATTCTGCGCTTGACGAGAAGCAAATACTTGTAGGCTAGCTAATTGAGATTGAGCTTATAATTCTGTAGGTTTGTAATGTTGCAAGGCAGCTCAGGCTTCTACACCTACGCCATATATGAACACCTTCAAGGCTTGCCTGACGTCAATCTAGGAGAGACCAGGGTGGTTTTCAAGCTTAGAAAGGACAAGTACATGATCTCCACCTTTCTTCATGCAATTGTCTTCTTGACCATTTAATGTTCATGATGTAGATCGTAAGCTTGTTCTTTTCTTGTGTTACTAGCTTCCTCAGAAACACTTATTCTCCGAAACAGGTTTCACTACATGGCCATTGCAGACAACAGGCAAAGAATCATGCCAATGCCTGATGATCGCGGGGAAGGAAGGTCAGAAAAGTTAGGATACCCTGAAGCAGTCCGACTCACTGATCCAATCAATGCAACCTTGAGAGGGGAGGTAAACAGAGGTCTACATTTGAATGCTTCCATTTACGCAGTTCATAGAGTGATCATGCAGCATCTGAATCTGCCAAATAATTGCATAGGTGGATGACAAATACCAGTATTCCTGTGATAACAAGGACAGTATGGTGCATGGATGGATTTCTTCTGATCCTTCCGTAGGGTTTTGGGTGATCACCCCAAGTAATGAGTTTAAGTCAGGAGGGCCTGTGAAGCAGGATCTGACATCTCATGTTGGTCCTACCGCCCTTTCTGTAAGTGCCTCAATCACCTGCAAGATCTTTAATCTTCCTCCCAATCCACATTCATTTGTTTGATACGAATCCTTTCTTCCCAAATTTTAGATGTTCGTGAGCTCTCATTACTCCGGGGTGGACACTGTGCCTAAATTCAGGAACGGAGAATACTGGAAGAAGGTGTTTGGTCCTGTGTTCATATATCTTAATTCTGCTCCGGACAAATCGGATCCAAAGCTTCTCTGGGAAGACGCCAAGAAGCAGGTAAGCTTTCTTGCTTCTTTTCCCATCGAAAACTATATTCTATGTGGTAGTCTTTCCATGCTTGAATTCCTTCTACTTGTCAACCCTGAGACACATGCACGAGACTCTACACTGAACTTTCTTGTTCTTGATTCAGATGCAGGTTGAAGTGGGGAAGTGGCCGTACGAGTTTCCTGCTTCAGAGGACTTCCACAAGAGCGAGAAGAGAGGCTCTGTTTCTGGTAGACTACGTGTTGTAGACAAGTATGTCGCACTTTTCTGTTTCCTCGAGCATTTTACTGTGCCTCATAATGTGGAGTGATCTCAGTTCCAATGAGGATATATTATTCTGCCAGGTACATCAATAAGGAATACATAAATGGGAATTCTGCTTTTGTTGGTTTGGCTTCACCAGGAGAAGCAGGATCTTGGCAGAGAGAAAGCAAGGTTCCTACCTATGGATCATGCTCAAGCAAGTTCCTGTCATGATCCGAGCTAAAATTGATCACCATCATGTGTTGCAGGGATATCAGTTCTGGGTGAGAGCAGACGTTGACGGCAACTTCGTCATCAAGAACGTAAGAACTGGAGTGTACAACCTTTACGCATGGGTTCCTGGTTTCATTGGGGACTACAAATCTAGTGTAAACATAACCGTGACGTCAGGTTAGTATGATATGTTTGTTGTGATATTCTTGTTCTTCTACACTGTCAATTTCATGAATCTGATGATATTAATCCGAGCAGGAAATCACATCAATCTGGGTAACCTTGTGTATAATCCTCCAAGAGATGGGCCAACCTTGTGGGAGATCGGCATTCCCGATCGCTCCGCCGCGGAGTTCTTCGTCCCAGATCCTGATCCTAAATATACCAACAGACTCTATGTGCATCATCCTGATAGGTTGCACAAATCTGAGGGTTCTTGGATTTCACTGCATTTGAGGTTGCAGCACTTCATTCCCCTAAATCCCTTGGTGTTCTTCTTCATCACAGGTTCAGGCAGTATGGGTTGTGGGAGAGATACGCAGATCTGTATCCTGCTGGGGATCTGAACTATACAATTGGTGTCAGTGACTACAGGAAAGACTGGTTCTACGCACAAGTTACCAGGTTCGTCTACTTCCTCTGATCTCTCATCTGTGAAGATACGTTGAATTCATTTTTTTTTAGTTCTTCTACGTTTCTTGCAGGAAGGATGGGCAGGGTTCCTATCAGGCAACTACATGGCAGATAAGGTTTCGACTCGATAGTGTGCGTCGGAATGGACCTTACAAGCTTCGAGTGGCGCTTGCGGCTTCGCATCTATCTGAGCTACAAGTATGTCTGAATCCTCTCTTCCTCCTCCTCCTCCTCCTCCTTCTTCTTGTTGGTGATGACATGAGTGTTCTCGTTGGATTTGAAGGTTCGATTCAACAACCCAAGAGTGCAGCCTGCACACTTCACGACAGGGCTAATTGGGAGAGACAACTCGATCGCCCGACACGGAATCCATGGGTTGTACTGGTTGTTCAGCATCGATGTGGAGAGCAGTTGGCTTCTTAAAGGCGACAACATCATCTTCTTAACCCAGACGCGAGGCCAAAGCCCTTTTAATGGAGTCATGTACGATTACATCCGAATGGAAGCTCCCGCAGGCACTGTCGCAAGCACGGAGGACGTTGCTTAATTTAGATTATGTCATGATCATTGAAATTTTGATTCTATCAAACCATATTCTTAGATCGATGTCATCGAGTTGCATGAATAATTTGAGAAATTGAAGATGAAAATTAATAGAGTTATGTTCTTCTCAGACATTGAAACGTAGGGAAGAGACTATGATTGGTTGTCGATTATAGTCGTATCACTTTTATATTAATATTAATAACATAAATACTTTTATGTTATCACCAATCCAAGCCTCTTTCCCTTAAATGGTAGGTATTCTTTTCGATAGATATCCAAACCCACTCGACTAGTTGTGATCAGGCGAATGGCAGGCCCGATTAGTTCAACGAAGGTTTCACCCAATCCGTACCTTGCCAACTAGCCCAGGCATTAGTTTGATGAAATTTCAAGAAAATAATTAGTCGATTTTGATTTCATTGTCATGGTACTCATATTTAAATCATAATCATATTGATATTATTCTAAATTAAGAGCAATATTAATAAAAATAATTAAAAATATATGAGAAGTAGGATAATAAGCACCCGATAAATATGAAATTTTATTGTATGCCCTTGCCCTTGCTCGGGACTTTTCTGTCTTTCTTTTCTTTCTGGTCTCACCAGTATAGAGAACTGACTTCTCTTTCTTGATAGTACTCTTTGTCTCCCTCAACGTATTCAGGAGCTAAGGGAGAGTCACCTTAAGCTTATTCATATTAAAATTAATTTTGAATTGTGAAAAAAAATCTGGTACGGACTGAAGCATAAGATCTACACACAGGTTATCCTCTAGGATCATTCCTAGACCTGTGAGTTTCTCTATCCACTTAATCATCTTTAGGTCATGATTTTGAACATGTATCCCCTTAGTCATCCTAGCGCGAAAGAGGCTCTTGGATATCTCATATCGCTGAGTTCTTCCCTATTTCTCAAACAGTTTACGGACATGTAAGAGAATGGATCTGACATCCATCTTTTTATGCTGTCAACTCAGGAGTCATGGAGCCCAACATGTAACACCAAGCAAGAGTAGATTTTTATGTGATTTTCTCCTTCGTGAGAATAATTCTTAAGTTGTGGAGTCAATCCATATAATTTGAACCAATAAGGCGATTGACATCAAGTATGCCACGTAAGGAATTTGAAAACGATATTTTCTGAAAATAAAGATGCAAAAGAAATAAATAATATGTAAATTTTATAAAAATAAATAAAAAAGATATGGACTTCTATTTTAATCTACTCCTACTATTTTATTAGCAAGTCACACGACACCCTCAGCATGTGAAACGGAAGTCTCCGGCAGACTTCTAGTGAGGATCGGGATCTAATCAGCATCTTAATGTAACTTCGAGGGACTCGAACAATCACACTAAGCCCGAAAGGTAGGCAATTCTTGCCGATCACAACTCCTTATGATTTCCATCCTATTCGGCCTCCGAACTACCATGGTCTTGAGGGACTCGACCAATTATGATGTCCGGTTAAGTCAACACAATCATTACAAGATGAGTCTGATTTGATGATATACCCTCGAGGGACTCGACCAAGTATAATATATCCTCATGTCACTGGTGACATCTTTATGTCATAGGCAAAATAGTAAATCGTGATATAGGTGAGCCTCGAGGGACTTGACCAACTCAACCTACATCGAGAATCGATCCCTACCTATAACAATGGAAGACCACGTGGGTCAATCTAATTGCCTCACGTTTACTGACTTAATATTATCGAGAGAGGAGATTTGATTTGGTCTCCTAATATGACATGTCACGCACATACATATTTAATATATATCTACATCACAAACAAATATATATACATATATAGTAGGTATATAAGCAATCACATATCATATGAGCAATCACATCATATGATCATGGACCATGGCCTAATGTGATCAGGCCCGAGCCAATGGGCCTAATCACTCATATCAAGATCTATGTGTGCACCAATGCATCTTCATGCCCTGTGATCATCCATCTCATCCTCATCGGTTCT